CACCGTCTATACTCGTCGCGGCGTGGCAAAGCGGGAATAATGGGTGATGATCACATGAAAACATGAAGCGTCCAAGCCGACCATGCGAGTCGGGACGCACGCGGCACACTCTCCAAACTACAAGGGTAAGATGCGAACCATACATGACCTCAGCCATTCGAAAGCACACCCATCAGACGGTATCAGTCAAACGTCTTTGATCGTGTCGTGATGTCAACTGAAGCAACTGCAAGAGCATACGTTGTCGGCTCGTTTGCAAGAAGTGCGCTTCGACCAGGGACAAGCACCAGGCGCCCAGCAAATCATCAGCACACTTCACAGAATCGGACCGCCGGGAATGAAGCCAGCGTATGACTCCCAGGTACTGGGCCAGCCATGCAAACTGGCATTATGAGGCAAGGGCCTCGTCAAGGAAACCAAGACTCGAAAGGTATACGCCAATCCCGCCACCGCCGCTCGACTCGTGGCGACCAGGGTCGAATCAACACCGCTAAACCAAGCTGTGATATCGCCCAGATGATCCGCGAGAGTGGCCTTGACAGCAGAGAAGAGAAGATGAAGAAGAGCCTCGAAGTCATCCACGAATGGCTTGATGGCACGGGGCTGGGTGGTGCAAATGAAGCGCCTTTACATCCCCCCGATCATCTGTTCGATGATTGGTCAAAATACAGAGACGTCTGATACCAGAACCGAGCACCACCTTAAGGTGAGATGAACAGTGTGCAGTCCCAACCGGCATGTGATTAACAGTCCATGGACTCGGGTATGCTATTATTATGTATTCAGGCTGGTGAAGACGGCCGAGAAGCATCAGCCAGTGAAGAATGGGCGAGGATTCGTGCGGTTTTAAGTGGACATCGTGGTGAAGCACGTGGAGCACGAATTCTCCAAAAGTTCTAGACAGATTAGGGTAGTTAGTTCACCAAAAGTAGTCCAACAAATCTTTCAAAAATTCTTCGACTGAGTTATCATGCGTTACATCCACATGGGCTAACAGCAAGGAGGCCGTTAGTCACTCCGAGTATACGTGCGTCCTAGTCATGGGACACGATAGTGCGGCTGCGGTTTTGTGGTGCAATCAGCTCATATCATATCGACAACACAAGATTGCTGAGGTTCCCACGAGCTAGCCCAGAGCCATGGCACTTCGTAGATCTCTACATTCGGCAAGCCCCAAAGCGAAGTCTTCCAAATGTCGACAGCCAGGCACCTTCTAGCATTCATGGTCTGGTAATCCCCAAAGATAAAGCGCCTCGTCTACGTTTGCGCCTCCGTCATTGTGGAGTAAATGCAAACATTAGTAGAGGGCCGACAGCCATGGAATATAGACTGCGAAGCATGAGAAAGCACTTGACTGATCTGGCCATCCTGGCGGACATCAACACTGCAGAAGAATTAAGACAAGCACGAAGGTCGGCCTGAGTGAAAGTCGGCGCCGTTGACAGCGCGATCAATGATCGATTGGTCGCGGGGAGGAGAGCCTCGACCTCGACGTGCTGGTGGATGTGAATGGAGAGAAGAGACGGCAGGCTGAAGTTGGTCTTGACGGCAACTCAAGACCTTCAATGCCCGGGAAAAGTACTTCAAATAGCTCATACCAAGCGGCGTACTAAAACCCAGCACCACATCCTTAGCCCCTTCCCCCACTCTTGTTCCTCTTTCTTCACCAACTTGCCTAAGCTCTGGTGAATACCGCCAGGAGGTTGTTGCGACCACAAAGTCGACATGGCATCACATTTTACAGTCGATCCACCACGGGTAGCGGGTGCGAAAGTCTGCGGCCGTGTCCGCTAGCCGGGGTCGAGAGGTCGGATGGTCGTTGGGGAGGCTTCCTTGCGGTGATATCGGGAGCGGGGGAACTGGCGCAAAAGGTTGGGGCGCTGGCACCCTTGGCAGGCTTCGGGCGTCCGGCGCGGCTTGATTCAACGACAACGTTGCACTCCAACTTATACAGCCCTTATGCCCTAGGCCTTTTCTACGCGTCTAAACTGCGTCGAGACGACATGCTCAGCTGACCTGGACGGCACCCGACCTTCAACCGGAACGCAACTGCCAGCACCGCGACGCGCCCAACCACCCACCCCTACTTGTACTCCCACGTCGCTGTCCTTAGGGTATCTCTCGTCGACATCACAATCGCCTACCCCATGATGACTTGCCTTCGCCCTTACCGCAGCCAGAGCTCGGGCAGTCCTTCTGCTATGTACGCCTGCCCACCCGTTTGACGTAGCCACCAAGGCCCCGCGCGCGCCAACCCTGGAGCGCGTCGCGCCTCAAGCAGCCCCCGCCAGCCTTACGATACATCCACACCCGCCGAAGAGACAGCCACTGCGCAGTCGCTCGACCCTATACGCATTACATGGCTATATAATGCGAGCGACATCGCAATATTCCTGATGTCCAAGAGTACATGCTCACCGCCCTATCCCCAAAGCTACTTCTGTCGCGACTGACACAACACCTTAGGACATGCCGCTTGTCTTTGGCAAGGCAGTGACGACGAGCGTTGCCAACATGTTGCCAACATATCGCCGATGTCGCATTCGACCTCACGACCGCCCACTAGCCGCCTTCGCTACCTAGGTACACATGAACGCCCATGCCGAAACTACACTCCACTTACATCCCGCCCGCCTCAGCGCTGCTCAAGCGACGACAACTTGACGCTCCCACTTTATTGCAGCCAGACTGCTCCCCCTCAGCCAATTCTCCCTCTCCATGAGGCGAAAAAGACTGAATCACGAGCATGTCTTCGAACGTCATTGCCGGACGCTCTCATCGATGAGCTATAAGTACGATCGTGCCTGATCCGCAGTCGCTGCCCAGCACTCCCACTTCTTATACGGTCATCTTGTGGCTCCCTCTTCGAACAAGAACATATACAAGTGGCGTTTGGAGGGTATCGCCATATCATGGTGCATGGAAGACTGGGCGGTTGTGGCAACCTCAATCGACGCAATATACGTGGATTTGCCAAACGTCGTTATCAAGGATGTGATGGAGCCCTTGCCGTCGCACTTTGGCATCACGGCCATGGGCGGTGCACCAACTCGATCAGGTCCCGACCCAAGTCGACCGTGCATTCCACCATGAATACCGTCGCATCCCTGTCCGTCGCAGCCCTCAGCCATCAACACGCCTCACAACGCAGGCCTGCCATTCCGTGGTTCTGCCAACCATCACGTATGTCGCATCCATGTCCGCCGCCAGGTCATCCTATTCGGCTCCGCCAATGCCTTCTCAGGTCATCGTGGACGTAGTCGTAGCTTGATGTGCCCAAGCCACTCATGGACGATGTGAAGATGACGTCGATGTGGGGCGGGGCAGCGATGTTGCTAGCAGCTTGTGCTCCCTGAGCAGTCGATGCGGCTGTATCGTGCGGGCACCGGGGTGACTACCTAGGTAGTTGTCAAGCTTGAGGATGAAGATGAGGACATGGATTCTGAGTGAGATGGGTAGTACAGAGACCGTGAGGAACGACAGCAAAAGGGGTGTATATGTCAAGCTGCGTCTCCAGTAGCACTACGACAAATGTACTTGACAGATCGAGGTCTTCTCCTTCTCCACGGTTAGGTGATCAGCTTAGGCTTAGTGCTGACGGATAGGAACTTAAATCTGAGTAATACTTGCCTCATTTGAAAACTGCTCGGTCTCATGAACATGATCATCTCCTCTTTTGGGGAACTTCTGCTAGCGTCTCCTGCGCATGAAAATCAGAGACACTCAACCCACCCGCAGCCGAACGCGCAGGTACACCACGACGAGCTGATACGTCCCTCATATCGACCAGATCAATGGAACGACTTCTTCTAGGCGTCGGGAATTCTTTCTAATCCCCGGCATCGTCGCGGACGATTCTTCAGTCAAGCTATGCTCACTCTTTACTGCCCGTGTAGCAACGTCTCACTCAAGTCACGAACGCTCAAATTCTCTCTAGCCTTGTCTGCCTCTGTTACGGCATATTTCAAACCCCATCGTGAAGAATAGCGTCGCGACCGCTTCTGGGGACGATACGCTTGTGCGTTCTCTATTTGTCAAGACAGCGACGAGAATAGTGTTGATTAGAGAAGCCGTCATGGCCAGCATTGCAGTGAGGGTTCGAGTAATAATCACTGTGCGCAGACGTCCGTCCGGGGTGTTGCGACAAGTCATCATGATTACATGGCTAGATACAAGTCTATTCGTGAGCGGAACCAGTACATCCAAGCTTCAATACGTCTATAGCCATGGATAATGTATTGCAGACAATAGCAGATCTCGCGGAAGGAAGTACGCAGGGATCACCCACCACTGGCTTTTTCTAGTCCGGATGTGTATCATCGCGAGGAACTTTATCTCCGCGCACGTGGGTGCGTTGCTTGTTTCGGTCTTGACAGCGCCCCCAAGAAAATCGATTACGGGAAGGATCTGGTACCCGGTTTCGCACGAAATGAAACCGGCGTGGCCAGTGGCGTCTTGTGTAGCTTCGTTGTGTCTGTGCCGCATGAGCCCGAAACGGCACAACTCGCGCGAGCACCAATGGTCGCCGCATCGCACTCTGGTCTTTGCGAACAATGAGCGAAGCGACAATAATAATGCAGCCTGCTGGATGAGAGTCGATCTGAGTATGCGCAGCTTCGATGATACCAGCGATGGTGCTGATGTCCGGTACCTGGACGCTCTGCTTCTTATGATAGAGACGGGAGCGAATCCTTCATGTCTCGGCTAGCAGATTGGGCCAAAGGTCGATTGAAGAAGTTCCAGAACACGGACAGCACTGAGCGTGGCCATACATTACCCAAAATATGGGTGTCTCTAAGCATGATCGCTGGTTTGGTTTGAAAGAGTATCGAACGTGCAACGCGGTCTGGATAAGAAGTCAGCTCCCCTCCACACCCTTCAAGCACGACATCAGAAATCTGTCCACGGCTGTACTCTCCTCAAGATATAGCATTCACCTTGTTTGCCCATTACCACGCACCCACTGTCCCAGATCGAAGACATTCTACCAACTGACCGTCATGTCGGGCGTCGGCAGCGTCAATAATTCACGCCACGAGGAGGTTTATGAGCTGCAACCTCTCTTCAAACTTGGCGATCCTGACCGGCTGTTCGACAGCCCGCTTGCTGAACGTATCAGCACGCTCTTCACCATGCATGCTTCCAGCGATGGTAAGTGACGATTCCGGTGCGACAGTCGTGCGTGATGGCGAAACTGATGTTGGGCCAGAGACTGAGGGAGACCCATACGACGATCTACTGCTCGCGGGCAAGGCAAAGCACCCATCGTCGAACCAGCGTGAGAAGGAATGTGAGAACGCGCCTTCTGCGGTCGACGCCCCGAAGATAGCGCCGGTGGAAGGTACGATATACCTGCACTTTTGCATACGTTTGCTTACATCTAAACTCTCAGCCGCCTGCCAGCACGACTATGCAGAGGCGCCAGTCCCCTCTAAGCGAATCGGATGTATTGACAAAGAGGTGGACGTGGCTCTAGCGAAAGCTAAAGCCAAGGTTGTTATCACCATGTTCTGCAGCGTGGTTATCAGTCAGGGTCTCGCCACGATTGTCGCAATGGTCATGGCTGCCGTGGCGATCGGACAGGCCCTGCTTCTCATGTTCTTCTCGCTCATTGTCATGATGTGGTTCATGAAGAGCATCATCAAAGACCTGTAGGTGGTGGACTACGGCTGGCGTTGGAATTGGGATGGCATGCTGGGCTCTGGACTTTCGTCTTTCCTTCGTACGGTTTGGGGTGATACATGGACCAGTATCTAACTCTTTCTCAACCAATGGATGCCACAATGTGATTTGACTTTTTTTGACTTCGTACCCGCACATGTGAATTGAAATCGATGAGTCCATCGTCTCCCGTGCCGTTTACTTCTCCATCGTAGTGGCTGACCTGTCGATTTTATCCGGGCAAAAAAATGGAGGAACATCGATTCAGCTGCATTCCTATCCCCTTCCAAGGTTTGAGACGAAGAGTCGTGCTTGGTATAGTGTTGTTGCCCTTCGTTGAAGTTCAGCGCGAACTCTCTAGCGCGGAAGTCAGCTGCCTTGCCCGCGCCCAACACGGATGCGATGCCTCTTGTTAGTAGGCAACAGCGCCGCCATTGGCAGATCAGGTGTTCTTGTATGTGCTGACGGAGCAGGGCGTATGGAGAGATGCGGAAGCACGCGCTGAGCCTCGAGTGCGGGCAGGCTGGACCCTGCCAAGCTGTCGTCACCACGTGCCGACTAGTCAGCTTCCACCCGGGCAGGATTGCAGCCCACCGCGCCCTCGAGTGCGGACATCGAGTGGGCCCGTATGCGCATCCGGTACGCGTCCCCCCAGACTGAACTTACGCTCTACACCACCATTACAGCGTCCCTCTCGCCTCGTAACATTGCGATGCGCCATTGGTGATGCGAAGTCACCAGCCATGTACGGCGCGGATCGCAACGCCAAACCACGACACTCAGCAATGCCAACCACGCCATAACCTCTAACCGTGTCCATATAGGAGATATGGCATCGAAGGTACTGAGGCTCGTATGAAGGCGCATTAGTCTTCACGGGGATGGCATTGCGATCCGAGAGCTCGTGCTGCGATCCCTATTCATCGCCGCCTAACAACGGTACAAACTGCCCAGGCTCTATTCATCTGGATTGGCTTCATACTGACTTCAGTTTTTCAGAAGCTTACCAGGCTGCGACTGCCTTTCATCTTCCGTCAACATACCCTTTACCGCATACGCACACGCACCAGTCTTCGATTCCACCCCGCATCAACACCCCTTCCCTGCGTAGGAGATCAGACAAGCCGACCGAGCGAGAAGGAGAAAATACGGCTACGGGCGTTGCATCATCAGACCAGTCTTTCTCGATTGCTCGTCGCAGGAGCTTGACCCGACACCACAAGATGCCAAGATATCGGAGCAGTGCTGGGCAAGGCCAATGCCATCAGATGAGATGTAGAACACAGCGCATCGTCATGTATCTCCGCGCTCGAAGATCTTGGCGGTTTCACTGCGCTACGCTTTGGCGGTCGAGGCTGCTGCTCCCGTCCTCTGCACATCGCTCGCCTCCAATCTCCATCCGAGCCTCCTCCCAGTCGATTCCGGCCAGCCATGCGACTATCTGCAGCATCTATTCCAGCCCGCAATGCGCCCACGATGGCCCTCCTCAGACTCTGTCCCCTCGACGACGTCCGAATAAGCGAAGCCGCTCTTTGCTATGCCGGCGGGTTGGTGATACACGAGGACGTCACATACATACACCCGGTTGCATGGTGTTGACCCCGCTGAGGTGATGAGCCTATGAGCTAGATCGTGGGTTGCGTCGGGTAACGAGGAGAGGCGGAGAGGAATGCGTAGAGCCCGATGGCCCCTCGACGCGCTCAGATGTGGCCTGTATTCCGTACCTATCCCAAGATTACAATACCGGTGCCGCGCCTCAGCAGGCAACAATGTCAATGTCAAGTTGAAAGGGAGGCCGACATGATGCCTCATTGTCAAATGGTAGCGACCCAAGCCGCCCGTTGTACCAGCCTTGGCTTGTATTTCCCGCATTGCTCGACCGATCGACATGTCGGTAGTCTTAATGTACTTGCATTCACATGCGCTTCTTAGACTACAGATCCAGGTTGGGAGTGAGGTTGAAGACCATTGGACTTTCCATTTCCCATGAGGGATGAGGGTCTCGTGTATCACCCTTGGCAGAGAAGACGATGCATCGCAATGAAAACATGTTCGTTGGCTTACTCCCATTCTTTCCGCAACAACTTCGGGTGAAGACAAGCCCAGTATGGAGAAAACAGTACACTAGCTATAGCTGAATCTTATCTATGACAAATCGCAAAACAGGAGACATTCATTCATTCCGGAAGGAGAACTGACAAGACGCTGGCAGAATCTCTGATGTGCTAGCTAAGTTCCTTCGCAGTAGCTAGTAAGATCTTGGACAGTGATACATGTATAGAGGAAACGTAACCTCCTCCTCGCCAACATCGCCAACAAAGTCCGGGCAGAAGAACATGGTACGTATCCTAGGTGTCTCGTTGCCTGAAAGCCGAGCGGATGATGTCCAAGCGATCAATGTACAACTCGAACTCATCGCCACTTTTCTTCCTCAGCTCTTCGATGGTGTTTCTAACCTCGAGCACACTCCTGATGGAAGCCATATCGGGGTCCTTGCGACCATGCATTCTGTCCAGAATCGCCATGATGTCGTTATTGGCGTCGGCATAGGCTCGGAGTGCGTTCAGGTTTGCCTGTATCGTATCGGTAGTAGCGTCCGATAATATGAGCTCGAATTCCTCGTCCTCTTCCTCCCTTCGCGACTCTCGACGATCACGCTCGGCGACAGCCAGCTCACGACGGGCTAGCAACATGCTAGACTTGAGCTTCTCCATGTCTCTGATGACGGCGTGTGCCCTCCTCATGATCATGATGGCAATCAGGATCATGACGAACCCGCCCAGAAACAACACGCGAGCATCTGTGTCCGACCTCGAGACATAGTTGGCGTCCAAGTAGCCGAGACTGCGAAGGAAGATCTTGGAAGCACAGACAATGACAGTGGTGAGGTTTATGAACAACACGACATCGAGCCAGATAGGTAGAGGAGAACGACGGTTGTCCATTGCGCCTGGTCTTTTTGAGTCAGCGGAGAAGCACATGGAAGAAGGGTATGTGGTTGGGTATGACGGACTTATGTATGGGTCACAGGGCAGGTCCGACTGATGTCTAGCGATATGGAAACCTTGCAACGGTTCTGGTCCGGTGGGTAGAGGTAACGTTCTGGGGATTGCGTAGGATATCTCACGATCATGACAGGGAGGAAACACGCGATATTTATCATGCCGTCTGGAACGGCCTTCGCTCTACAATCTGGTTAAAACCTTGATGAGGCGTGAAGCAATGATTCGTGGTCTTTGGCTTCGCTCGCAGTGCGCTGTGGATGGCATAAATTGCCTCGACATGAGTAGACAATGAGAATATTGGTAGTGCTCTCGATGCCGGTGGACCGTTAGCCAATAGAGGAAGCGATACATCAGATGCGATGTGAGCATTTACTTGAGCACGCAACTGAGAGTAAGGACGTTGAATCAGTGTCTCACATTTGCCTCGCAGCGACACAAATCCGAAGTGACAATACGAGCTAAGGAAAGGCCAAATGGAACGTAAGCTGGAGTCAACGTCTCTGTTTATGCATCCCTTACACGTTCTCAGCCTCTCGAGCATCTTTGTGGACGACGGACGGGCTGGACAGATTTCATCGACGAACACCACTGCAGACGAGTATGTGGTACCTTCATCATGATACCGAGCTTCTATCACGAAGATCTAGCGGGTGCGATATCTCATCTCGGACGACCTGAACATGGTGGCGTCGCCGGGCGAGACATGATGCGTTGCGCGTGGGGCTTGCTGGCGAGCTGCAAAACAGTGCCATACGACACCACAACCACGACGGGTAGACATCAGCATTGCAAAAGGCCATGTACTTCGAGATGGGCAATGCGACAAAGGATCCGGGGTATGGCGGAGATCGGATCGCTTTGCGGCTGTAGAGACGTGTGCGCAGCCATGAGACTTTGGGCCAAAACCGCCGCAGCTCACCAAGACCTCTGCACAGACAAGGACCCAATCAGAAACGACGTCAGTCTTTTCCGTTCTGGATGAAGGTGGGAATCTGTACATGGGTCGTCATTCTCATGCCTGCTGCGATAAAATACATGCTGCTTTCGCGTTTGCCGGTCTCGTCGTTGGAAGAAAGTGCTGCGCATCCTCACCATCTGACGTAGGCTCGGCTAGCGCACACAGGCAAATCTCCGGCCCAACCGCGATCTCTCTCGGCCACACCAGCAACGTAGCGCCCACGCTACCCCGCCACCATGACACGCGACGGTAGGACCCTTGCTCTGACCCGCTACCGCCATCCGCGTTGTACCTGATCGTCGTACTAACGTCGTGTAGGTGACAACTCCACCGCGCACACGCGCCGCTTGTCCCACCACTCAGCCGCTCGTGGCATAAACTTCTATGAGCCGCGCACTTCTCGCACTCGCGCGAAGCTTCGAATCCCGGCGGGTCACACCAAAGAAACCTACGAAGTCGACTGCCTCACACACAGAAGATGCCCAGAGAACTCCGACGAACCGGAGTATCGTGTGCGATGGGCTGGGCTAGACGAGAACGGCAATAAGTGGCTGCCGACCTGGCGGAATGCGAGCGTGATAGGGGATGTCTCGATCGCGGAGTATGAGGCTAGCCATGCGCAGCCTGAGCATGAGGAGATGGACGTCGATACTGCACCCGAGGCCTCCCCCGAGCCCGGTCTTTTTACCATCAACGCCGCCCGCGCCCCGGCACTTCCAGCCACGCCAGCTGTGCCGGCAAAGAAGAAGGAGAAATTCAAAGGATAAAGAGAAGCAGAACGTGATGAAGAGGGCAGTGCAAGACGATGACGACATGTGGTTGGGAGAGAGAGGGTCAAGACAAACAGAAGAAGGGCAAGGGCAAAGAAAAGAAGAAAGCTAAGAGGAGCGCAGGGCCGCGTTACAACGTCTTTGATCATGTTAGGAGGAAGGATGGACTCGGGATCGGAAAGGACAGATTCAAGGTGGGGGGTTACGCAGCGCAGACTCGCCGGCTATCCTGGCATTCCCGACCTTGCCATGCCTGATGTTCTTGGACTTTCCAGTCTCAGGCTTCCTGAGACGCAGGCTCATGGTCGTATCGATATCGAGGCCCCGCCCGGTGAGCAGATTGGATCATACTAGAAGACGGACGGAAGACGAAGACACGAATAATGACTACCACGATGATACCCATCCATATCTATGTATATCTAATAAGTTAATGACAACCTTGCTTGACATTATCTGTCAATCATTCATCTTCGCCGTGGTGCATCTGCGATGTGATGACCCGTTCTTGTCCTTGATGACGAGGTTGAAACTTCCTGAGTCAGATATAGGCAACAGATAGTAGTAGAAGTACTCATCATAGCATTATCTTAATCCAATACTTCGTGGTCGGTTCGTGTCATGTCTGCCTTTCTACACGTGAGTTATCGGTTCCGGGACGGGATGTATGCGTCAACTTCAAGTATACTTCCGGCTGAATTCCAAGGGAGGAAGGCTTCTAAAAAATCAAGGATGTCGTTCTGCCCGGGTAAACTTAATGGTGGCAGTGAGAAGTTCATTGCCCGCCTGGTGTGTTGAAGGTTGGAGGGAAGGAGCGCGGCAGCACGCCACACGTGGTGCAGTCTTGCTACCGCTCATCAGGCTGATTCCGTCTTAACACGAACAAGTCCAAGCTTTGTGAACACGGTCTTTACACCATCGCGATGTGCCGCACTCCATGCATCGCCGGCACAAGTGCAAAAACTCATACATGCGACGTGGTGCTTCTCCTATCGCCAGACACCGGACAAGATTCATGCCAATATCTTGATCAGAGATGTAGAGGGTGCTACATCACTTCTACAAAAAAGCTCATTCTGGTCCGAAATCGTTGATTGAGAAGGCATGGCGGCTGTGGGAAAAGTCAGGCCCCGTAGGTGATGGGTTGTGAAGTTCCCGGGCTGACTCGCGCCTCCGCCAATAGCGCTCAAGAGAGCGCCGCGGGAGTGGTCATGTCGCGATAGCTCCGTGTTGGGATCGCCAGCCGCGTCAAAACTCGTAACATTCATCAACACGCGCATCTTCTTCCCTTACGCAAGATCTTCCAACTCAAATACAGCTCATCAGTATAGGCGCGACGCGATGACAACATTAACAGATCTAGTTGGGCCCGGCTACCTCGTTCTGGAAAGACCATTCCGGCATGAAGGTGCCCGCCGCTCGGTGAGGGCAGGAGACGACTGCGCGTCATATCCGCTCAACGTGCGCGCCTTAGCAGCTGAGTATCGCAATGGCTTATACCCATCTATTCCGCAGAGGACTGGTCGCGATGGCAAGCCCGCGTCTGCCTATATCGACACTTCTCCTCTACCAATGTGACTTGATGCCTGCATGAAGTCACTCTTACAATGCGTGCATCATCAGCAAAACGAACCATGTGGATGTTGGACTTCCATTCGTTAGTGTATCCTACTGAACATGGCTATCCTTTGGACCAGTGCCGACAACGTCACAAGGACAATGTACAACCCACGCCTTCAAAAGTCATACGTCTCACATCAGGCAATATCTCTTCCAGGGAGATACATCACCAGCTCAAGCGACCAAACTAGCGAGATCACAATTGGCTGGAAGATACACCTACCTTTCCCATAGACCGAGGTAACACCCAAAGCTTGACTGGCGCTGACAAGGCATGCAGCACTGGGACATCTCGCTACACCTACCCAGGACCAACGCACGACGGACAAGATTGGGTGAGCTGTTCATTACTGGAGTCCATGCTTACATGCCTAAAACCATCGCGCGCATCAAAGTCATCACCTTCTCGCTACCGCTTGAAGCCACCATCACCAACTCGACAACGCTGACCGCAACATGTACAGCCAGCTTGGAGTGGTGCCTAGTAGTGATAGGTCGTGCGAGAAGAACAAAAAAGTATCAAGCCTTTTGACCTCGCCAGACTCCGACATCGCCTCACGACAGGACTGAAGACCAAGCAACACCAGTCCCATAAGACTACATCCTCGACACCATAGCCACATCTCTGATGGAGGTTAGCACGTCTTCTTCACGCTCCATGCAACAAAGGCCGGATAGTCCACTCACTACTCGTCCTCCGGTTTGTGGATGACTTCGATCGGGCCGTCAGACACCAACTCCCACTTGTTGTTCCTGCACTCTTCGAGCGTTTTGCCGAGATAGTAGACACCAACCGTGTCTGGCTTCCACAGGTCGTTTAGATCGTACCACCTCGACGGCGACATTTCGTTTTCTTCTTCGTCGTCCTTCAGATCCAGAGGGATGGCGTAGATCCCACTGATGAAACCGTTATCTCCAACCTGCCCTACGGCGGCGTATGGTGTTTGTTGCGTGTTGATGCCGCGGTCCTTGGTGTGCTCCTCGGCGTTGATGATCCCGATGTGTACCAACTTCGACTTGTACAGGTTTGGGGATTGCGCGTTCCCGGCTGCATTCGGGTCAGCTTCGAACCGCATCCACTTCGTTTGTTTCAAGGGTCCAAACGATCCTCCAGACTGTGGGGGTTGGGCGACATCGTCACTGCCGTGTCGCTTTCCCAGATGATGCTTGGCGTATATGAACGGGGTGGAGACCGCGTTGGAGTAATGATTGATCTCGCTGATAGCTGGAGGGGCGTAATGAGCGGTGAGCTCGGCTGGAAGAACCTCTAGATAAAGATGAACGTTCTTGTCGCGGCCCATGCCGTAGGTGTGTCGGCTGGATAGCTGCATTTCAACATCCCGCATACGAGTGACTGTCGACTCCTGGTTGAAGTTCATGCGAAGCACTTTATCCAGATCGGTCTCTCCGCCCGACTGAGACATCCGTAGTTCCGCATATTCATCCCATCTCTTCATGTATTCGTCCAAGATGTCGCCAAATTTCTGTTCATCTTCAATCTGAGGTGTTGACACAAGAAGTCAGTAAGTTTCTTCAAAGTAGCGCATACACCGTAGTTCTTACATCGACCTTAAAGAACTCGCAAATTTGTTGCTTGAAAGGAAGCGCGTGCTTGTCGTTGCTAGCTCGCCACCTCGAGAAATCTGCATATTGTTGGGCCCCAACGTGACGCGCTTTCTCGTTCGTGTCAGCCATCCTGCCAAAACCTAGCGTACGCAGGTGTGGACGTGCCTTTTTGTTCGTCGACATTCGATGATGGTTGAGAAGGCGGGTGGGGAGTGAGAGAGGTGTTGCACGCCGAAGAAGACGGGAGAATGCCATGAGCGCGAAGATTGTTGTGGTAAGTTGAGGTTTAATACCCAGGTAGATGAGGTACGCAGGCACTAGTAGAGGCAGGCAGGTGCCCGGGGTAAGAGGGGTTTTGATAGGCTAGAGGTGAGACTAGCGAGGGTCTAGCGCGTTGACTGTGATAGCAAAGGTCACGCCCAAATTATCAACGTCGCGATATTATTGTTAAAATCTCGGTAGTGAAGTCATTTCGCACGGATGTTGATCAACTAGTAGACCATTTTGGACAAACTGATCTGCCCAGGCTTCCGAGCGGAGAAATTCATTGTGCTATGCATAGCGGCTGCAACACCAAACATGGTTCCTGTGCGACTACGTCAAAGCGGCGAACGATTGTGGAAGCAAATTCACCAGACTGTTGAGTCTACAACACACAACTTAGATGATTGCGCACTCTATCCTAGTGGCAAGACGGTGACAAACGCCGCCACAACCTGCGGGTTTCTCCACAACAACTGAGCAATGTCGACACCAGTCTGCATATCTTTTTGAATGAATGCACAAATGTTTAGAACCAGGCAAAGAAAGCTCCAGTGCAAACATAATCTCGCAATAGTAACCTCACAAACATGCTAAACAAAGCGGTACCAAACGAAACACGAACAAAGATACCTTCCACCGACGCGAGTGTGTCAACATGTCAAACTCAAGAAGAGCCAATCGTGGCCCAAAGAATGCTTTCAGATCTGACGAGGGCAATCATGCTGAGCGCAAGCGGGTCTAGCACTGGCACAAGGAATGCTTCCAGACAAGACGCGCAGCAAGCATGTCGATTCGACGCAGTTCCAACGTCGCAAATCGACAGCGCAAGTTGCTTCTCGCCAGAGCTCATCAAAGAGCCAATGGCAGGTGTAGCAAGCGGTATCAGGTATTTGGGTCACAACAAAGTACCTGTAGCAGAGAGTTGGGTTGTATACGCATCTTGAACGGTTCACGATAAGTTTATTGCCAATGGCGCTCATGCAAAGATTGAATTCTGTATCAATCCATCGAAGATACTGCGCATCAATGCTGCTACCCTATCGACCATATCGCTCATTGCCTGCTATCAGATGCAAATCTACACTTCCAACGCCCCCAATCGTTGCTCTATCTCCCGATTGCCCTTTGTCCTCGCTGCATCCTAAACCTATTGTACCTTTCATACACCCTACTGGCAGAGCAGTATGTCCAGTTTGTGAACGTATCGCCTCAGTACATTTGGATCAATTTTTTCCGGGCAACAATACTACAAATGACCGCATACCATGCAAGTGCAGAGCAAGTCTTGGTATTGATGCTGTGCGGGATCTGCCATCATGGACGGCGAGGGTCAACCTCGATTCAATTCCACACGATCCAAAAGACAGTGCGGGAACATTCGCGCGAGACGCACATACGCTTCTTTCAGTTGGGAGGGCCATCCGGACGCTCGTAAAAGAGAAGGGCCATCTAGATCTATCGCCATCTACCACTCATCTCAACGCCGAATGGGCCAAAAGCGACCCGAATTCCAGCGTTGGAAGACAGTGGTACCCATACATTGACGACGTGACTAGAGCGCTTCGATGGCAAACGTATGGACTACTCCATCCGAGGTTTGTCAGTCTCAGGGCCAAAGCCATGTTCAAGAAAGATGTGCCGAAAATGAATGCGACGATGCAAGCGCTACGGGAGGTAATCAACTCGCTCCGAAAGCTATTACCAAGAGAGATCCGCCTTCGAAGTGTGGCTCATTGGCATGAGGTGCGAGCATCGCCTTCGGAGATTGCCCTCGAACTTGTTGCTCAAACTGTACATGCCGAAAACGTACATGCTGAACCCGGTATTTATCCAGAGACACCGGAACAATTCAAGGTATTTCGTAAGTTCGCCATAGCACCCTTCGAAGAACACTGGCTAACACTGAACCTAGTTGGGTCGTTTAAGGAGACGTTACAAGACCTTGGCCTAGGAAGGAGAGTCCTTCCCATTTGTTCTTATGTTATCTTTCCATCTAAGGTCGCCGAGCCAAAGCGAGGACTGCACTGGGTCACCGTCCGCTCCACGTTCATGGGGTGGAATCATGAGGGCCAACAAGCATTGCTAAAAAAACGCCGGGATGGCCTTGCAAAGTCTTTCGCTCACCTACCTGCTATGCAGAGCGCCAAACAAGACCTCATCAACAACTTCAAGGCCCATGACATTCCGCAAGGTACCAAGTCACCGTACAAAAAGGCTCCTCCATCTCTTAGTCCTGGTATCGCTTTCAACAATAACATCAAGGCCCGCTTGCCTTGTCAGATATGCGGGTACTTCCATAATTTCCACATCTCGCATAAGGTTGGAAAGACGAAAAGGATGGACGAGCGCCTTTGGAAGAAGGAAAGGGCGATCTTCTCGTGCGCCGAGCTGGGTGTCGCTGCAATTATGCATTGCGTTGACGAGTTCGACCGAAGGCGCGAGGGGTCGTAAACATGCTGCAGCCATGAAAGACGGGCTCTGGCTGTACGGAGAAGGGAGGACGTCGGAGTCGGTAGGAGAAGGTATGGTTTCTCGCTCATCGTCGGGTATGGTGCACTGGTGGATGCTTCTTTTGTGGCTTCTTGTTCAACGTCGTTTGTATGTGGTTTTGGTGTCGCTCCTCTCGTCTTTTCTCAAGGTTGGCCCCAATGCTTGTCGCTTGTTTTGCAAGTCAATGCAGACATTATCTTAGTGAGGATTCACCTGTCTAAGTTCAGTTGAGTGTATGGAGCGAAATACGATGCAGATGTTGGCGACATCAAGTACCCTGTTGCACAAATGCCATGTAGCTCATCGTTCATAGGGCATTGTTGTACTGCGTAATAAGCAGGCTGGAGGACAAGGAAGACAGGATGTGACGATTGAAGAGATGAGACGGGGAATAAACTTAGGTATACATGTGCCGTTCACTGCTACGACCTCGCGTCTCATGATGTATAATCTCCGAAGTTCGTTGCGTTCGCCTTAATCTCCATAGCATAGTTGCACTTTTCGTGGTGATTTCGATGAGGCACATCATGGGTAACTGGCATTGTGGAGATGACAGTACCACGCACAAACACCCATCATGATACAGCCACTTCGGAGGAAGATCTCGACACCCAAAGTGTGTGGCGATGGCTATGCGGGCGAAGTCGGGTTTCGCGCTGACGTGTTGAAGCCAACTAGGTACGAAGGTCATCGACGACTGATGTCTGTCCGAGAAGGCATGACTGGATTCAGCACATCAGAGCAGTTGCAGTGTCGGTTGGTGGCTCACAACGAGTCGCTGAGGGCGAAGCTTCTTAGCCAGGGAAGTGCTGGAAGTTGCGAAGGAGAAGGCGAGGGGGTGACGCGGCGTTCAATCAGCCTTGGGCTCGGGGCTTTCTCGGCCGCGCTAGCACCCGAAAAGGAAGACTTCCGCGGCGATTTCGAACTTCATGAGTTCATCACAGATGCGTTTTCGGGCAGTGTCTTTATGCGATCGAAATTGTATGGATCAGCTTACACACGTGAGTATTTATCGCGATCAAATATATGTGCTGAAGACCAAGCTCCTTGAACAACGGCCCGATGTCTGACCCCGTTTACCACGGGCGCTCCCCCAGTCGACCACTGACCAACGCAAGAAGGTCGATCATCCTAGTACGCCAAATACTCTGCGACTTCATCTTCATTAGGTATCCACATGTCCAGCTCGTCATCCTCTAGGCTGGGAGCGCTCATTTCGTTCGCGCGAAGCTTGTCAACCTCTTCGAAGTCAACAAGGTAACTACAATGCGAGCGTTAGCATTTTGTTCATGGAAAACAGGGAGCCTACTTACCACTTGCAAGTCTCCTGATCCCACATGATATTGTGCAGGCCACGATCGATTGGCACAACCCCACATTTCACCACGGCACTGTTAAAAAGTCAGCACGATAGGCCCGGGGTTGGTAGAGGAAAACTTACAGCCATGCCACTTTGAAGGCTTCTCGGACAACCTTCCTCTTCTCAAGAGCCATCTCACAGAACATGTCCATTGACAAAGTCACCCCAGGCAACTTGTTCATGAGCATAAGGACACGATAGCCTCCATCTATGGCTTCATAATGGAAACCCGGGCGCACCGTGCCTTCAGACGTACCACAGAGCCAGGGAGAATGCTGACATTTTTCATGCCCAAGACGGTCAAGAGCTTCTATCTCATTTCTTGTCGCGGGACTCGAGAGTGAAGTGGTAGGTGTGGTGCACAGCTTGAGGTGATCCTTGTATGCAGGCAATCTGGTGCCTCTGGTGTCGTTTTGATCACGTAGCTCCGCCTCGCCATCATCGATCATTTCCTGGTACTCCTCAACTGTACGCCTACTCGCGCGAATTCTGATACTGTTACTAACATGTCTAGGAGATTAAGGATTGTTACTTACTGGAACTTGACTTTGACTACACACTCGCCGATGGCTTTCCAGGGCTCATCTAGGCAGACACATGTGTAGACCTGGCGCGCTTCGCAGGGACTGTGGTCATCCTGGAACTCCAGCGTTGATAGCGGTGCGAGTATCTTCCATCGCGCATCCTTGGTGGTGCGGAAGATTTTGCCGACGTATGGATTGTCGCGCAGCCACTTGGGGGGTGACGGCCTTGGCTTGCGGGCTTTCGCATGACTGGGGGCAACATCACTCTCGGGCTTGTGAGAGTCGCTGGAGGAGCTCGAAGTGTTGGAGATGGGACGAGAGGTCATCCTGGAGAGATATGAACGGAGAATACTGCAGCGTGTACAATGATGCGGAGGTGGATGGATGTTAGGGCTTCAGTGTGTTGTTGCACCGGCCGACTACCTGTGCTCCAGTCGGAAATGCGCTAACTCTGGTACTAGCTCAGTCCGACTTAGCGCCATCATGGATCAGTGATCATTGGCCAATTCAAGGCTCCGCTTTCGAGCCTGGAGTCGAGACGTCTCGCAGTTGATATTGAATGTGTTAAACAAAGAGTTATTATTGCAGTCTCGAGAAAGGTATTACTCCCCTTAAGAACCAATTAGTAATCATCATGGAGGGCCGCAATTGAGTAAGCCAGAACAGCGAGTCTCGTAAGTGCCCAGGTGCCATTCATGCACACGAGAGCCGATCAGATCTACTCATGAACTCCGTCGCTCCGCTGCCTATACGTTGAGCCTCTTAGATGTACTGTTGGGTATACACCACTAAGATCTCCTAAGATCTGTTCACATACATCGATACGAAGAGAGAGCTCTGAAGAATGCAAAGTATTACCAACCCTTTTCAACGAACCGTCGTTCAATGTTCCAAAGCTGACTACGATATCCCAGGTCAGTGTCACCTACTGCGCCCGTGCTGACTTCCAACTCTGCATATAGCTGGGGCATCTCTAACCGCTTCTCCATGCCCGAAAATTATTCATAGCTGCCTTACTTGGCTCAGCTATGATAAACTCTTCACCTTCTACTCATTGGCGTTGGTGTACTCGGGTCCAGTCTACGCAGCCGAACAAGGTTCTCAGCCTGCGCTCCCGCTTCATCAAACTCATCAGGTCCATCAGTATCGTCAGACGGGTCAAAACCATCGTCGATGTATTCGCTATCATCGCCATCGTCGATATCAGCCACCTCAAGACTGCGCGCTGACTCTGTAACCTCGGAGTTCTCGGCACTTTGGGGAGGAGTCTTTGCCCAGCTGACCTTGCGCGGAGACCTGGGCTTTGGTGACGGGCTATTCTTTGTGTTCTGTGCCCTGGACCGCTTCAAGTTGTCTTTCAGTCCTTTTACCGTCTTTTTGATCGCATTCGCAGCTTTCATGGGCGATTCTTTGATAGGTGTCAGAACGTTTGAGAGCTGATTCCTGGAACGCAGTCGCCGAATCATGGATTTGGAGGGTAAGGGTGGTGATTTGGAGGGTAAGGGTGGTGTTTTGCCGAGGTAGGGCGACCCTACAGCTGCTGAGGGAGTGTTGGCAGCAACCGTCCGAGAGTACCAATCATCTTGCTTCGGAATATCGCTCGCTTTCAACCTCCAGCCTTCACCTCCATCATCGACGACCTTGTGTAACATAAAGAGAGTTGTGAAGCGGGTACCGAATGTGTGTACGTTGTTCCCCTCGTCCACACAAGTCGGGGTATCGTAGCGGAAGACGGGCGAGTAATAAAGACCATACTCTTCCGGATTGGATTTGCGCGGTTCGATCCTGAGAAAGATGGTCTCATTGTAAGTCGAGACGAAGCCGTACTTGATCTTGTGTTTGTACATATACTTGGCGGGCTGCCCTGTGATGGGGAGTTAGCGCGATCGAGGACGTTCAATGCTTGGTGTGGCAATGCTGTGCGGACTCGCAGAGACATGTCATAACTCACCAAGAAGGTTGCGCAACGATCCTGGGTTTTTAGAGGCGGGATCCTTGATCATCTTGGCTAGATTATGAGTCGTGCACATCTTGAATTCTCCTATGATGCGCACTGTCTCATCGCCGCCGTTCGAGTCGGAAACATTGAGGATGAGGTCGGGCTCCTGGTCTTTCGGGCGTGATTTGACATCCTCACCTTTAGAGCTGGGAACCGGCGGGTACAACGTCAGTGAATGTTTCACATGCATGTCGCGCAGTGGGCTTACCTGGAGCATTCAATGTGAATGGGCAGGAGCATTGCATCGGCTTCGGATCTGCATCTTGCAAGCGCATGTAAAACCGTTCGCACTGGCGTTGCCAGATTTTGCTTGATGCGCCCATCGACGTCGATTTCAGCCGCCATTGTAACCCCCTCGTCTGCGACGAAGTCTGGATGATATACGAGAATCACCGGAGTGTTCACGTTCGTCATGGCTGGGCAGTTATCGAAACTATACGCGGGTGTAGATGGTCAGTATTTGTCCCCAATGCTGCTCATATAGGGTTACTACTCACCTTGGCTTGATAGCAGCTAAGAAGTCCTCCAGCTCGTCTTGGATGTTCCACTCCCCCAAATGACCCTCGAACATGTGGCGCATGCTGCTCTTTGTCGTGCCCTTTCCTCCATTCTTTACTAACAGGAGCCTTGGAAGCGACGCACAGATAGTCTCCCATGCACTCTCGAAGATATCCGAGAGCTCCAAGGTTTTGGACGTCATGATTTGCGTGAGCGAATTTGGCCTGTCGATCGTGAGGTCGTAGTACGTGATTCGCAATAAGGACGCGTGCTAAGGAATCACAGCGCAGAGCCGTGTCGCCGTGGATGGTGCGTATAGACTTGTTGCCTAAACAAATTTGACTCCTAGGCGCTCATGATTTGCCCCACCGGTGTTTCCCTCTTCTCCCTCTCTCGCTATACCAATCTCCGCACCTTGATCCGTGCGCGCTTTCTCGCTCCAGAGGAAACCACAGTCACCGCTCCAAGAACGCTTCTCTTGAACAAATGTGCGGAAGTGATCCACTATGACTTCCACGCCAACCGTTTGACATACTGAGAACACTGCATACCTCCTTTATCATTACCCCGTGCACGCGAGCGTGCAGTTCATATGTCGGGCGGTATTGACAGTATTATAACTGTGTGGAGTATCTTAAGGCCGTCGCTCTAGGTCATCCGAACATTACTCTTCACCTTGCGCTCTCCCTTTCGCCCTGCGAGTCCGACCCACGTTCACTTTTCCTGCGGCCTTTCCACCCGGGGCGACAGCAGGGGTATCTCTGCTTGGCGCGTTCACTTCCACAATAAAATGGCGTTCCAGCAAATTCTTTCGTTGTCCTTTCTCTTGCGATTAGAATCAAGAGTATCGTTGCTTGATATATCCCATCAGTCAGCATGGCGCTGGTACGTTGACCCCTCGTTCGCCATTAGTCCACTCAATGCTAACAGGTTATGTAGAGCAAGTACGGGTTCAGAATCCGAAAACCGGTATGTAGGCGGCTTCATCAGCTTTGAAGATGTACTGATCGACGACATAGTCCTTGTTGCCGAATGCGAAAGCTGCGGCTGGATCTTCAAAGGGCAGTAAGGAGAAGAGCACACCCGGTGCGCGACCTGCACACGGGGCGCCACGCAGTCGTAACGGTCAGACGAAGAATCGTCCACTGCCTAAGAAAGTGAGTACCATGTGTCAAGGACATGAGCATTACCGGTAGCATGGAGCTGATGTAAATGCAGGCAGCGCCGTCCGTGGTGCCGAAGGGAAAGAAGACCGCTGGCTTCCGGACTAATGGCCAGCTTCGTATCACGCCGACCTCTCTGAAGTCGCGAGTAACTCTCGATAATCTTGCTGAGGGTACGCAAGCCGCGCCCATCTGCATCGACGACGATGGCGATGATGACATCGGGGTCGCCCAGCATCAAAAGAGCTCGGTTTCGGTCAACACCGACGCAAAGAGTCAACAAAGTCTCGTAAGAGCGTTTACGCCTCTCTCCATGATCGATCAAAATCGCGAAACCGAAGTTCCGTCTCTTCCCACATCTACACCCGAAGGCGCCGAGCTGAATGAAGACGTGCCTTCCGGCGCTTCGCGCGGCAGCAGCCCCATCGAGATTACCAGCGAAGATGACGAGCAAGCTTCGGACACGGAGCCTTCTTCCCCCATCGATAGGTATAAGTCTCCGCGGAGAAAGTGCTTGGTCAAACTAGGGCGCTACAGGGCTTTTCGCACAGGTCTGTACACGTTGTTCGCGATTACGAAACCGAAGGCGCGACAGATACCGTTCGACAAAGTCCTCAGAGTCATCAACAACAACCTTTCAGTCGAGAAGCAGTTCTCTCCTCTGGAAGCAAAGCAGGTCCTCAAATATATGAGGGAGAAATTGTTCGACTCGCTGTGCGCCGATCGGGTAGTGGACGTGAACCTGGAGGGGATCAAGTTGTATGCGTAAAGGGGATGAAAGGTTTGCGGGAGCAGGGGCGTCGGCTCTATCCCTGAAGCTTTGCATAAGACAAGTTGAGTGCGCCTTCACTTGGAGTCGATTGGATGGTCGGGGCGTCTCAGAAATAGTGTTTAATGTACCATTGCGCGATGGCATAACCACGCCGAAACTTAATTCGAATGCGCCATGACGATGAGTGTTGCGTCCCGGTTATCTTGCAAGAGACTACCGCCCTCTTGCGCTGATCTGGAGCCACGGTCCGACCTGAACAGCTCATCGTGAAAAGACCTTCTCACTCCGCGTGAAGTCCAGCCATATTCTTATGGTACAGCACATAGCTAGGCCGCAGTCACACTCCGCCCCTTCCCGTGTGTATAGTGACGCTGTGTACGTTGGAATTTGCGTCGTCTCGTCCGTCGGGCATCCATTGAGGTGTGGGTGGTTATGACACGGGCGCGGTATTGGTAGCTAATCGAGCTCAGCTGCGTCGCGATCTAGAAGAGCGTAACCCTGTCGTTGTTAGCATGGCGAAGTGGGAGATCCAGACAGTGACCTGCCTCGTGCCGTCGGAATGGGATGTCACTAGATACCCGATGGCTACTCGAACAGGCGCCATGCAGGGGAGACTGGAGATGCGCGTCCGTTATGATGCATACAGACCCCAACATCATCCATATCCAGCCTACGACGGCGTTCCACCAAGGCGCGATGTGGTCCAGCGTTCCAGACTTCTCAGCACTCCGGGCCAATCCTGCGGCTCCGCATCCCTTGAAAGCTCCACTGGCTTCTCCTCCTCATCCTCAGCCGGCGTAGTATATAGTCGGGCTCGTCCCGATTGCGCGTGCGAGCGTGCGCCAAGGGATGTCGGGCTTGAGGTTGAAGTCGTGAATTCCGGTGGCTGGCGTG